CCCAATAAAGCAAAAGAAATTATGACGCCCTAACACACCTAACTGGAAGAAACTGAAGTAGTAGTATTTTTGTTTGTTTGCTTACTTATGAAAGTCATTATGAGATCTGTGGGTTTAAATTGCAATGTTGGATGTCAGCAGGCCTATAGTCAAACAACTTAATGGGTTGTACAAAGGGGGCGTAAACATTTCCTTCCAAGTTTGTTGAGAAAGTGATCATTTTGAACACTTTTTTTGGTGTGTGTGTGAGTGTGTGTGTGTGTGTGTCTGTGTGTGTATGTGTGTGTGTGTGTATGTGTGTGTGTACACGCACATGCATTTGCAAATGAAAAATACCTGTGCCTGAACTTGTTTGATATACAAGTTTTGTTTCTTACTTTATTTTTAAAAGGAAGAGAGAACTGTCATCTGTGTGTCGGAGATGCAAAGGAAAGGTAATTTGACCCTTTAATAGTCTTCCAGTGTCTTTCAATGTGGATAGCAAGGACAATTTTACAAGTTTTTCTTGCTTCTTTCTTTAAAAAATAAGACCCTGTAATTCAATTAAAGGGGATTGTATATTTTGAGCCAGCAAAGGAAAGATCATATGCTTCTAAAATAGTTTTTAGATCTGGATGATTAAAAAAAAAAATCAGAATTCAGTTGTATGGTAATACTGAGGGGAAATGTCTCACTACAGTTAAAGGCTGTATAGTAATTTTTTTCTTTCTTTTGTTTCTATTTCACAGACTGATCAGACCAACAGAACAATGCTGATAATACAAGTTACAACTGCAGAGACAGAAGAACCGGCTCCGGATGTGGGACGCGCTAAATGTAGGCCAGCGTGCCGTGTATGACGCACACGTGTGATGTGTGTGTGTAGGTGCCAGTAAGTTGCTCATATCATGTTTCATAAATTTTCTGCTGCAACAGGCTTCCCTTTATATTTGCTTAACGCTCGACCGAAGGCTTCAAGTTGTTTCATTTGATGAATACTGTCTGCTATTTCAGTTGCTTTTGCGAACTAGAAATCCTGTAACTTAAAGTCCCTGTCATGCCTGGGCGAGAAATTCAAATTTCCAACATGGCGTGATAGAGCCAGTAGACGCATGCGCAAGCAGCCCGCCTGACACGGTTCTCTTCTCAGCATGTTCAGAGTAGGAGGAAGGAAAAGAAAGAGAAAAAGCGTGTCTTTCTTCTTACCCTTGAGCGGAAGGGGTTCCCTCCTCTAGTTTTGTCCATCAGTATGATGTAAGAATGATATTATTCCTGTGAGTGTGTCTGTTTGTCTGTGTGCACAGGTGGGGTGGACACACACTTTCTGTGGTAACTCCGTAAGTTTTTGGAAGTAATCCAGTGAAATCCACGAGGAGGCATCCGAGAGAACTGATGTCGGAGCCGAGAGAGCACGAGAGAGCACGAGAGAGAGAGAGAGAGAACGAGAGAGAGGTGGAGCTTAGGACAAGTTGTCTATGAAGCCTTTTCACAATGGTAGACCTGCCTGCCTCTCCGCGTTCTTGGTGGTGGTGGTGGTGGTGGTGGCTGGGAGAGAGAGAGAGTTGGTGGGGTAAATGTAGGTCAAACGCACACTCTAGGACTGTGCCGCCTGGCCCAGTCAGGCCTGCGATTCACACGGAACGAACGAACGCGCGACTCACAGACATCGCTGCTGGGTCTCTGATGGGGAAAGAGGGAAGGAAGGCTGTGGTGTGTGTGTGTGTGTGTGA